AGAGAGTTGAAAATAAAGCTGGTCATCATAGTCCTGTTCCAAAGGACTGCTGCTACAGTCTCTTAAAACCTGGTGGCACTCAGTGTATGATACAATTTGTGCATCACAGATGGAATTTGTTGTATTCTTTCTGGCTTTAATATATTTCTTTGTAGCGCAGCTGTCTTCTGCTGTTAAGCTTATCTATCTGTTGCTTCCCTCCATTTCCACGTTTTCTCTTAGAAATTATTTTCTTCAACTTTTCCTTTGCCTTGTCTGTTAATTGAAAAAGCAAAACAAAACCAAAGGGGGGGGGAATCCCAAATGAAATGGTGTCATATCATTTCTGCAGCTAGCCCATTACTTCCAAAGGCTGTGCTTTCAGAAGCTGTATTCTCAAACTCTTTAAGCTTTCTTTTCTCCTTATGTGAAATAAGGAGCTCCTCGGCTTTTAAGAGTATTGGCTTGTGTGTGTAGATGAATTGAGTTAGACAGCAGAGGTTGTTACTACCTTAATTTGCTCTGTCTCCTTTGCCCGAGCTGAGTAGCTGGACTGGACTTGGAAGTAGCTTCTGGAAAGGAGAGAAGCAATCTGGGTGCTAATTGCTTTGGCTATCTGACTTTCATTTGCCATCGTACCTGAGTCAGAATGGTAAGTTTCTGCTCAGCTCTTGTGACCTTGAGGCTGACTGCTTGTGGTATTTTTAAGACAGAAGTATTTGGGTGAGGATGCTTGCTCTGCTCTGGGTGAACCTCTCATCCTCTCTTGGGTTCAAACGTCCATCCAGACGCACACAGTACTGGCTTGTTTTCTGCTTAGAAATGGTAATAAGAGACACAGCTATCCTATATTCATTGGAAAATGTGAAATGCCATTGAAATTTCATCCATGGGAACAGGTTCTTTCAAAGGAGCCTGGGACTGCTTGTTCCATGAATGTTTGTTGAGAGCGCTTGAAATTCCTGAAGCATTGTCGACTAATAAATGAATACAAATTATCTCTGAAACAGGTTCATTTCACTCTTGTCTGATGTGTAGCTTCTGGCCTGCCAGAGTCAAAATACTGTGACTTATTTTTGTATGTCAAATTGCGTACTTTGTTTATTAGAATTGCTGATTTGTTGTGTAATGAGAAGGGCTGAGATTACTGTTACTTTTCATGGTAAGGATTTAAAGGGCAGGTCATTGGTGTTCTCCAGCAGCAAAATATTTTTTATTATCTCTTCATCTTCTGTTACATATTTCAGAGGTGTGAGTTAGCCAGGTTCCGGAATTAGTGACTTACATTTTGCTTTCAATCCTGTCGGCCTTAGGAAGGCTCCATACAGAGCAGAGTTTCACTCACTTAACTGAATGCACTGTGTCGGAATATAGACAAATATGTCTGTAGTTGATAATAGATTGCTAATAGTTTACTAGAAGATAAAGCAAACACCATTCGGAGCATTTTGTGTTGTAAAGCTGCACCTTGCATCATGTAAAATTCAACATTTTTCCAACTTTGAGCTGGAAGTCTGAATTGAAGCTGTAGCTCTGTTGCTTTTATACATGCATGACTTAACACAAATCTTGTTCAAGGTCTTTTGTTGTAATTTTTTTTTTAGAAGCTTCTGCATAGTAAGATTAATTTCCATTTTGCTAAAGATTTAGTAAATAATGATGCACATAAGAAAAACATAGTTTTAATAATCTCCTTGGATCCTGGGGGGGGGGTCACAGGCTAGGGATAATGATTTCTACCCCTGTCCCCAAACATACTATATATTATTTAGATAGATTTAATGCATTAAAAATTATGTAGTGCATGATGGCAAGAGCTGTGTTTCTTGACGGCCAAAATTTTGCATTCTGTGACCAATAAATGGGGCCTGATCCCAGTTCAGAGGAAGAGAGAGGCCGTGCTGCACCCTGGAAGTCTCAGATTTGGCAGAGTGACATGAGCGCTCAGCCCCACGGGGTGTTAGAGCTGCTGTGTGTTTCTCTCCCTCCTCTGGTGGTTTTTCCCTTTTCTTTCCAGCAGAGTTGAGTACTGTATGTTGTTGCTAATTGCAGATAAGGTAGTAGTGACATTTTGAAGAGTATACATAGATGATATTCACCCAAAGGATGATACTACACTCTTCAGAGCTGCGGATACAATTTTGCTGGCACAGACTCATTTAGTGATGAATTGCAGAATAGCGGTTCAAGACCTACAGCATATTAGTGAAAATGAATCCACTGAGCACTAGTCCCGTGGCACTACAGCAGCACTTAAAGAACACTGATTTTCTTGAAGGGAGAAAAATTTGATTAAGAGATTTAGCTGTGAGTTTGTTGGGTGGTTTTTTTGGTGGTTTTTTTTTTTTTTTTTTTTACAAGGAGTGCGTTATTTGTATTTGTTTCTTGAGGTGTGTTATTGTAAGGAATTTAATATACAGCAGAAAAACCAGAAGAGTGCCATAAACACAGAACGTTGTTCTCTGGTTTAGCAGATGGAAGACTCGTATATGCTACAGTAAGCAGAGACGTAGCAGAAGTTCTAGTTAAAATTTCTTGTTATAAACTGACCTAACACCTGGTTATAAAAGGAAAAAAGATCAAGATGCTAAAATTGAGAAGATGTAGGATAGTGTACACAGTGGTGTGTGTCTGTGGCAAAAATGTTGCAGAAATTAATGCAATAATTGGAACAAATTATTATATTCAAAAGATGGGGCAACCTGTTATTGAAAGAGTTGTCTAATTTGAGGGAAATGGGGATAAAGACAGGCTTCATGTTAATAATGTGTTGGTGCTTTGCATGAGAACAGAGTGTTCTTTCAGCTCTGGAGTGTGATCAGTGCAGAACAGAAAAGTCCCGAGGATAATGCTGGACTCCTTTGGGCAATCTCCTTTAACATCACCCAGGTGCTAGAAAATCAGATGGATCTGGAATGCAAGAATTCCTAAAACAGCAGAAAACACGCGAGTATGTGTCTCCTTTTGTCCTTCCCCATCTCTACATCCTTTGTGTCTAGCTGGGAGGAGGCACATTTGGGATGTGCCTAGAGCTGAAAGCAGCTCCGAGGAGAAGCTGTTTTCTGCTCTCGGTAAGTTTTAAGGCAGCACCTTGGTATGTTCTTGTGTTTAAAACAACCTCTATGTGGAATCTCACTTTGATTTGTAGATTCCTTGCTTCCAGTTTTATAATTAACCTCAACTGCTGGTGTAACTGCCACTGGTTAAAGAATAATGAAAACAATTTAATTGTCTCTTCAACATACCACAACATGTTTGAAAATATTTTAAGATGTGTATCTCTAGGTGGCGATTTCACCACTACTGGGAAAGCTATGGGTGGGAAAATGAGGAGTGCTAATGAACAAGCTCTTTTTGGTCAAATATAATGTGGTCTTGCAGACTCTAATGCACAAATCTCTGTATAGAAGAGGCAGGAGAGATACTCAGAATGGGGGTTTATGCTAGTTCCACTATTTTAGGGCTAAGGTAGGTTACAGCTTTCTCAGGTTGACAACTTCAGAAGGATTATCTGAAGCTATGAGCAATCATGGATAGTTCGGGCCAGACCTCTTTTGTGCTACAGAAGTGGTCTGCTTATGTGAGGGCATTACAAAAAATAAGTATTTGCTGCAACTCTTGCTCTATCTTTGCAAAAAGATAAAAAATTGATAGTATGGAGGGAGCACTGGTATTTCTAGCCGGTGACTTTGTGAGTAGATGCGTGGTTCATAAACACAGGGTTCTCGATCAGATGATGAGTTATGATGAAGAAATATTTTTCTATATTTTGTGATTTGACAAGAGCATGCGACTTCTTTCTAGTTCTCTTGCGATTTCTGTAAGTTAAAGTCTTATATAATACTTTTTCTGAATAATAATAAATAAATAAATCGGTAAGTCTGTGTTGCTTTCAGCTAGATCAAGGAGCTTCCCAGTCTGAAGATTCAGGATTTGACAAGATATTCTAAAAATACTATAACCAGCTGTAAAATAAACTGAAAATGCTAAGACTGTGTTGACAACGTTGTTCAACAGCTAACATTATTTTTTAATGAAAAACATTTTGGATTTTTAGGATTAACAAGGTGTTTTCTACATTCCTAGAGACAGAGTTGAATTATCAATCTCAAGATGTACCTTTTGGACTCAAATTAAAATGTGCTGCTTCAAGTAGCAAGAGCTACTGGTTCCTCATTTTAAAATCCAGATTTCTTCTGACAAATTAGGATTTAATTACAGAAGTATTTAAAAACTCACAAAGAGTGCACACGTATTTTTGAGGTGCATTCATTGAATAAAGATTAGCAACCTAAGGGAAGTCAGTCTGAAAAATGCGCGTTAAGGTGATGCAAGAGATGGGTTGAACTGTGCAGGTAAAGACTAAAGGTTGTACTGCGTTATTGTAATGATTATTTGGAATGCCTTATGGGTTGATTTAAGCAATGTAAGTTCGGGATACGCTCAAGTTTGTTGTGTGTAAAGTAGTGTGAATACTATAAGGAAGGCTTTGATGTTCAAAGTTATTTAATTTCCTTCTAAAGGAAATATCATTAAAAAATCAGAAGGTGAAAGTAAAGCAGACAAGATTCCTGTGCCATTAATGGAATTATAGTAAGAGTTGTAATAATATCCCTTAATCTTAAAAAGGTAAGTCTCTTGCAGATTTAAGGTTTTTCTGCTGCTTTTCATGCCATGTGAGGTATTAACGGTTAATACAAGTTGCTGATCTGAAAGCATCGTCACTAATCCTGCTTGGAAAGCGGCTCATTCTGTGCTCATTAGAAAAGGTCCTTCATTAACTAACTACTTAATGACATCCTAGGACAAGCAGATACCGAATCTGTGACTACTGCTGGCAGGTTTCCCTAGGACTCGTCTCTAAAGCAGCGAAAGTTAGTCCGCCTGAGCAACGAAATGTCTTGGTGTGCTCTGGTGGAACGCGCGGCGGCGGGTGCAAATTTACATGAGCAAATACAAGGGCAGGACCTGTTAGAAAAGACATAAACCAGTTTACGCTCATCGAAAAAGCTTCTACTCACCCTTCTCTGTGAGCTTCTCCTTTCTCTAGCTCCTGTATAACACCCAACAACACTTTTATGGTTTCCTGACTAGAGCTGATCAAATTTTCCATCATCTGAAGCTGTGCTTTCAAGTCCACAACTTCCGTGTGAGGCACGATTTGTTGGCATTCCTCGCTCACCGCGACGGCCGTCCGGCAAGGCTGGTTCTCCTCCATGGGTGAAACGTTTATCTGAAGGGTCTGTTCGTTACATTCGGTGGCTTGGCACTGCGCCCGCGACGAGCAGGCTCCAGCATCTCCCGCCTGAGGCTGAACACCGTTCAGGTGCACCGTCCTCTTTTTATCCTCCTCGCTTGTCGGGCACGGTGACCAGTCTGTCTCGGCCGTAAGATTTGCCAGGTCGGGCTGCGAGGCGTTGGAACCAGAAGCCGGTAAATAAACGGTGGCCACTTCAGTCTTGAAGACCCTTCCGTGGAGGGACTGGGCGGCCTCCTCGCTCCCTGGCCGCCCCGTCGCCTGTTTCGCTCGGCTGGGTGGCCGGGCGGCGATGGGCTCCTCCAAAGCAGGGTCAGCCGAGTTTGGGAGAGGAGGAGTTGGCGGCTCTTTGGGAGAGCTGTGCAAATCGCTGCTTTTCCAGGCCTCGGCCCCGTTGTAGCGAGATCCCGTGTTGGTGCGCTCGTTGATGTGGGAAATAAACTCCGCCGTTTGTAGGCTGCTGGCCTTCTTACCCAACTGAACCTCCCCTGAGCTTCTGCCGTCTTTGTCCTTAACGTCTATTAGAAACCCGTTGTTTTGACTCTTAAAGGTGTCGACAGTTGAGGCGCTTTTTAGAATATTCCCTTTTTTCCGGTCCAGAGGAAAGGTCTGGTAACACTTTTTAAGATCGGGTGAAGTCTGGACTCCTGTGCTCTTGGTGACGTTGGGTATGGACCTCCGGGCAGGCACCGTCATGTACTTGCGATAGGCCGTTTTGTAGGAGATGGGCTTGGCTTCTCTCTTGTCGGGATCCTGCGTGGTGGACAGCTGTTTGTCCCTCTGCTCGTTCTGGGCCTCGCAGATATCTTTAAATCTCACTTGGAGAGCTTTGTTGCGTTTCTTAATCTGCCGGTTGGGATCCAGGGCGTATTTCATCTCCAAAGCGAGCGAAGCTGCTGGCTCAACTTCGCTTTCCGAGGCGGTGAGTAAGCATTTGCTGGGCTCCTTACTCACCATGATGCCTGCATTCAAAAAAAAAAAAAAAAAAAA